GCTCCATTACAGAGCCACGCTGGTTGTTGGCAGTATGCTTGAGCCAGAGCCACTCCCTCTATTCTTGCGATCTGTTCTCTCAAAAGTGGCCTTGGTTCAGCGATGATCGGGTTTGGGCATTCATTGTCACACTGGGTGGGTTGGGCTTTGAGCCATCCTGTAACTCACTCCTCTAGGTGAGTGTGGTGCACAGCTGCCCATGCCCACCCTTATGAGCACCTGACCTGACTTGAGGGATGCTGTGGGGTAGTTGTCCATGGTGGACTCGATTTAGACCCAGCACATAATGGAGAGGTATCACTAACTTCTTTGTTCCATGTCTCCTTCTCTAAATGTGAGCCGGATAGGGCCTCCCCACATTCCATGGCTCCATCTCCACACTGGCAAGGTGAATAGAAAGAGGGCATCGATGACCCTCCTGGGGCATGTGAGTGTCATGTCTTCTCACTTGTCCCACAGACTACGTGAGTGCCAGGGCCCAGTCCAACTTCCAGAGGGAAGTGTCTTCCTTCTCATGGCACTGTTTTTCATCCATGCTAAGCGGCTCACACATCCATCCCTTTCAAGTCACATCACCGTAAAGGTGATTGTGGGCAATCACACCAGTGTGACGAGCATGGGGAGTTCCTGATTCCAGTCGACCTTGAATTTCACCAAGGGGTGGGCTGTGACCAGAGAAAAATTGTGCTTGGAAAGGGAGTGGGACTGTTCTTCCAACACCGGCCATCCCCTTCCAGTAGCACTGTCAGCAAGCAGAGTCCAGTGCAAGGCCAAGGCCAAGGCCAATTCCTCAAGGCAAACTGACTGAATCCTAGTTCCCAGGGCAACTTGTCTTCCTTTCCATGGCTGCTTTCCCTGCCTAGGCCACACAGTCCTCTCACATCCATCCCCTTTCACCCACACCACTCGCAGGGTGACTGGTTACAGGGCTTGCCATCCATCCCTCTCTCTCCCTGTCCCAGGACTTTGGTATTTGTTGTTGTAGCAGTGCACTAGGGCACAGAGTCTGACTGTTGTCACTGCCCCCCTGGTCAAGGTGATTGACATGACCGCATGGCCAAGATCTTCACCAGGGACTTGTCCTGAAGTCTGTGTGGCTTTTCCATTTCATTTTCTTTTCCTCATTGTCTCTTTGCTTCTATTGGGCCCTGACTCTCAGCCAACTCCCCTTGTGCAATGACGAACTCCTGGCCACCAGCAACCTGCACCTTTCACGGGCAGGGCACTTACCAGGCCCAGACCATCGGGCCACTGTTAAGAACATGTGTTGCATGTGGGCAACCTGTTACGGTGGCACAAGCCATGGCACCCTCAGCTGCAGAATGCTGTGGCATCCTCATCTGCAATGACCTGGGGTCTTCATGGCAACACATCATCAAAGCACATTGCTGGCCAGTGGTCCTTGTTGACATAGCAGGGAGGTACCATGGCCTTTCAGTCCGTCTGCTGGCAGAGCCATTATGGGGCATGGCCAAATCCTTCTGGGCTGTTGGGGAGATCAGGCTGCATTCCAGAGCCAACCCTGGTTTCGTTTTGCTTGAGTGGTCTTGGGGCGCATCACTTGGCCAACAAAGGTCATTCTGCTGGCAAGGTATTTGTGAGGCATGGGCTCCAAAATCCAAGGTGACTGTGGGAGGATAGTGTTGCATGCATGGCCAATCCTTCCTGGAAACAAGATGCTGTTGGCAGCGGGTTCAAGCCAGAGCGCCCCTTATAGTTGTGATTTGTTCTCTGTTCGGCTGCATGTGGCTCCTAGGCCCAGGGCGGGGTGGGAGGGTTGGCCCTTCAGTCACCTTCACTGTGGTGGGAGGCTGGGCCTGGAGGGATGCAGCCACCCGCAAACTTGTGGATGGCTCCCAGGTCCCAAACTGGCCAGGAGTGTTGGCCCTGCCCCATAATTGCATTGTCCATCTGCAGAGGGAGAGTGGGCCTCGGGGGACGCAGCCACTTGCAACCTTGCGGGTGGCTCCCAAGCAGGGCAAGGAGGGTTGGACCTGCCTTGTAGTCACCTTGAACACTGTGGGATGGTGGGCCCGGGGACATGCAGCCACCCACTGTGCAGGTGGCTCCCAGGCCCCAGGCAGGGTGGGAGGGTTGGCCCTGCACAGAAGAAGAAGAGGAGGAGGAGGAGGAGATTGGATTTATATCCTGCCCTTCGCTCAGAGTCTCACAGCGGCTTACAAACTGCTTTCCTTTCCCCTCCCCACAACAGACACCCTGTGAGGTAGGTGGGGCTGAAAGAGCTCTTTCGAGAACTGCTCTTTCAGAACAACTCTGGCAGAACTATGGCTTGCCCAAGGTCATCCAGGCACTGAGAGTGGAGGAGTGGGGAATCAAACCCAGATTAGAGTCCGTGCACTTAGCCACTACACCAAACTGGCTCTCACTTTGTGAGTAATCACCTTGACCTCAGTGGGAGGGTGGGCCTGGGGAGAGGCATGCACCCACAACCTTGCAGGTGGCTCCCAGGCCTCGGGCAGGGTGGGAGGGTTGGCCTTGCAGTCACATTGTCTGTCTGCAGAGGGAGGGTGGGGCTGGGGATATGCAGCCACCCACAACCATGCAGGTGGCTCCTGGGCCCTGGGCAGGGCTGGAGGGTTGGCTCTGCCCCAGAATCATGTTGTCCTTCCAGAGGGAGGGTGGGCCTGGGGACATGGAACCACCCACAATGGGTGCCTCCCAGCCAGGGTGGGAGGGTTGGCCCTGCCCTGCCATGGCCTGCGATGCACTACATCCACCTACTATGTCGGTGGCTCCCAGGCGAGGGCAGAGGGGGTTGGCCCTGCATTCATCTGGTCATTGGAGAGAGGATGGGCCCAGCCAGGGACACGTTGATCTGCAAAAGTGCCAGCAGCAGTTCTCTCCCGCATGCTTCCAGGAGGAAGGGGGTGTCCATCCCAGAGAGGTCCATTGTAAGTTTGATGCCTCCTCTGTACTAGGTTACATAGGATCTGTTGTGTCCATTCTATGGCCCAGAACCCACACTTGACATCATTTTCCCAGAAAGCTCTCCTGGGGGCACCTTCCTTGGCAGGCTGTAACTCAGACCCCTCAAGTCAGGGCATATAGGGGGGCATCCCAGGGGGGTCCACCATGAGTTTGATGCCTCTAGCTTGCACAGGGCCCATTCTATACACTCCTAAACCTGACATCTCCATGAGAAGCACTTTCCTCGGGGCACCTTGTTTGGGTGTCTGTAACTTGGACCCCGCAAATCCAATCTGCGTGTAAATTGTAGGGCATGTAGGAGGCATCCCAGGGATGTGCACCGTGAGTTTGATACTTCTAGCTTGTACAGAACCAATGCCTAACATTTTCCCCAAAAGCACTTTTCTGGGGGCACATTGTTTGGGGGGGGTCTGTAACATGTACCCCCCAAGCCCAATCTTCACCAAACCTGTTGGGCTGGTAGAGGAGAGTCAGCTGGAGATGCCCTGTGATTTTGGAGTTACTAGGACCCTGGTGGGGCCACTCCTACATCCCAAGCTCCCTGAACCAGTTCAGTTTGGCAGAGCGGCTGGTTTTCCTAGTTTGTGCCCATCCCTTATAATCAGTGCACACATCTGTCCAAATATCTCTCATTTCCATAATTTACAGATAGTTTGTAATGCCTCAGGTGTACAAATGCAGGTTGATGTCACAAAGATTACTGACATTTCCCTCTAGCCTTATGCAATTTTGCCAGCATATTTAAACATTCAGAAAATATTTGACATTTGCCTTAATATATGCAATACAGAACAGTTTGTGCAGCAGGAATAACATGGAACAGGATTAACAATGAATTGAACAGTACTTTAAACTAGAGCCAAACTGAGGGGAGAAGGGAATATATGAATCTTTTTGTGATCCATTGAAAAGCATCCCCCATTTTTGGTGATGGAGAATTGCTTGGAAGGGCAAGAAAAATATATGTAGGGTGTATGCAGTTGCTTTGACAACCGGGCGGATGCCCTACTTTGCAACAATAATGCTGTTTCATTCAACATGGTGAAGCAGAAAGCATCCAACAAAATGAAAATTTTGACATATGTTGGCATTTGTCTCCAAGTGTGGATGTCATTTACCTGCACTATATTTCCTTCAACAGAACACTTGCTTGAATGTGCATGCTGGATGGACTAGACCTGCATAGAGACTTCAGACTAAGGGCTCTGTATCACATTGTTAAATCTGGTTTTCTAAATAGATCTGTGATGTTTCAAATTTGTTTTACATGATCCCTGATTGGCAAGGATTGTGCAGTAAAGGAGAATCCTTATTAAAGTCAAGAAAAATAGCACTGAAATAGCAATGTAAGTTCAATGATCAGGCACAGAATGGAAATAAAGGAATCACCTTTTTCTTGCCACAAAGATGTTATAAGGAGAAAATCTGGGGCATGTATGTTTTAAGTCCAGAGAGTTAAAATGTACCTGAAAGCATAAAAGAAACTAGATCTTTGTTGCATACCTGAGGGAACTCTGGCAACAGTAGGTTTGTGTTCAGAATTCTCTATAATAGATCTCTAGTTCTCTTACAAACTATGGAAGAACCAGGTAAGTCACCCTTGAGCTCCTTGGAGAAAGGGCAGGATGAAAATAAGATGTGATACACTGACAAAATATAAGGTTTCATAAAGCCATCCCATAGCAACTTGAATAGCCCACCTTAGCCCAATTGCAGCAAAGCAGGGTCGGCTACAGTCAGTACTTAGATGGGCAACTACCAAGGAAGACTGGGATTGCTAGGCAGAGGAAGGCAATGACAAACCACCTCTGCTTATCTCTTGCCTGGAACACCCAGTAGAAGGGGTCACCATGAGTCAGTTGTGACTTGAGAGCACATTATTCATTCCGAACCACCTCCAACTACTCCCCCATGGCTGCTTCTACTACATGAAACCCTTGACACATTTGTTTAGTGATAGATGAGATTAAGAATATAGGCAAATATAACCAAAACTAGCCTATGGTCATGCTTCTGAATGGACTCGATGAGTTACATTTTAAAACCTTTACCTTAAAAAGCCGTCTGATTACACCATCTAGCACATCCCATTTTGTTTTGCCACTGACCCCAATAGATCCTACCAAATATGCTTGCATTTTTTGGTCCTGTGAAGAGAGTATGCAAAAGAGGAAGAAAGATGAGATTCACAGTTCAAGATTAACAAGACATGGTTTTGTCAGATTTACTGAATACACTTCACTAAGATATGCTACTGTAGGAACACAAACATGCTATAAATTAGAACATTTCATCATGCAGCTGTGCATGCAAATATTCTTGAAAATGACAGCACAATAATCTTTGTGTTGTAAGCATTGTATACTGAGAGGCAAATATGAGCAACAGTAAAATGGTCAATTTTTTATTTACTGTAACATAAACTTTAAGGTCTGAACAGGCAATTTTCTGTGACATTACAAGTCTCTTGGTGCAGATAACCCTGCAAACTATACTGAATGTAACTTGATCATTTTTTATTCAAAAATAGTTTTAAGGGTAAGATGTATAGTAGATAAGAAGATAAAATGCACCATTTCCTGCCAATTAGCAAGTTATGACATGTTCTTCAGGATAGGCAGGGATCCCATACAAAGAAACTGGAACAATTTGCAGCCTATAGTCAATTAGTGGCATGGCCAGTATGATACAAATATAGATACAAGATAAGACAAAAGTGAAAGCGCTGTATTCTATGTTCCCTGTTGAACACTTAATAGAGTACAGCCTTTGTTGCTGCAGCAACAGCATATGGATAATTATGATGAACATAGCAATAAAGCATGGAAGTCATCACACCTTGGATCGACCATAGCCCTTGTTTATTGTGACCATAATTTTAACATTCTGGCCTTCTTTATGAAGAGTTCCATCTGTAACATCCTCCAGTAAAATATCTAGAAAAAATACAAAAACACTATTTACAAACATAACAAACTTGGCAGAACATATCCATTTGATTTTACTTGTAATTCTAACCTCTGTGCCTATGTTTTTAATGCATCAGCAAGAGCTATGATTATAACGGCTCATTGTACATTCATACTGTCCTTTATCCTTTGCTGTCTGGTAATGGAACACAACACTTGATGATCTTTGGTAGGAATTGCATGATTTTGGGCACATGAACTCTATTCCTCGATGCCAGCACCTAACTCAGACAGTAAGAATTTTCTATAATGTCATCATCTATTGCCATGACGTACTAGATCCTCTGAATTCCCAGCTTTCATTGCAAGAAAAGGTAAGTTAGTTCGACATGGTGTGTGCTCGCACACATGAATATACGAGAAGCAGGACAATAAAGTCCCCCTCTGAAAATAACTCCGATATACCTGATGCAACTGAATCAGTGATATTCAAGTTATTCAAAGAGAGCCCCAAAGACTGACGAGAAGATGATGAAGATGTGCTGCTTGAAGACTCTGAGCATGGCCGGGCAGGCTTTCCACTGTTTCCAGTCTCTGCCTTCAAGCGGTCATTTTCAGCTTTCAGTATCTCGATTTCATTCTAGCATTTAAAGAACAAGAAGAAATGCATATTTTAAAAAGGGGGAGGAGGGTGCAGCATGGAAAAGGTCAACAACCTGGCATAGTATATAGATTCATAAACCAATCCAGCAGTTTTCAAAGCAATGTGACACTACATACTGAGGAAGAAGAAGAGATTGGATTTATACCCCGCCTTTCACTACCAAAGGAGTCTCAGAGCAGCTTACAAACTCCTTTCCCTTCCCCTCCCCACAACAGACACCCTGTGAGGTAGGTGGGGCTGAGAGAGCTCTGACAGAAACTGCTCTTTTTCAAGGACAGCTCTTATCAGAACTATGGCTTGCCCAAGGTCATCCAGCAGGTGCAAGTGGAGGAGTAGGGAATCATACCCGGTTCTCCCAGATTAGAGTCTGCGCACTTAACCACTACACCAAACTGGCAAAAGTAATTCAAACAGCAAGGGGGAAAATATCATTTTTGATATAGGAAGAAAAGAAATACAGGGCCCATGCACTGGCTGCAGCTTTAGACCATTGTAACTTTGATGTGCTATTGCTGATGCCTTATACAATTTTGACTCTGTGGCAAACACTAGGTATAAATTTGTCCCGAAACCTTAAATTACATGGGGAAAGTATTAGGGTATATCCAGTTGGCACTTTTGAGGGGGGGGGGGACAAATGAATATAGTTCACAATTGTCCTAAACTGTCTGCATATGTCATTGTTTCTATCCCACATGCCTAACCCAGCTGTCTCAACTGATCAGCACCACTGGCTCTATTAGACAACTATGAGCAATGTAGGCTGGGTGACTGGAATAATGCTACAGCTCATTAGAACATGCTTGCATTTTTCAGGTCTGTGCCTTAGCACACAAATGCCACACACAAGATGTTATTGCCTGCATGTATGCTTACTCACAGGATAGTATTATCATATGCATGCACACACATCCACATTCAAATCTAGAAACTTTCTAAGTAGCCTATTCTGATAATTCACACTGAAGAAATCCAGCTGCATTAATACTCGCATAGTAATGGAAGAACCAGTTCTCTTAAGCATTTCTGTCTCCCACTCAAATCCTACGCCGCAATGTTTGGTGATTACCAAGTCAACAGACAGAATAAAACATTGAACTCCTTCATGAAGTACAAGCTACTGTACTGTACTCACTGTGTTACTATTTGGATGCTTGAAGATGAGTGAGATTATTGCTTTATTTGTAATCACTGTAGACAACTGTGCATGTCAGATATGGTTAATTATTTAAAACATTTATATAGTGATAGGACATAGGGTTTTGAGGTGTTTTTTTTTACAGATGGCATATATAGGGTTGTCTGCTCTCATAGTAAATTCCAAATTCAGTAACACTAAACCTATAATTCCTTTACAAAGGTTCTGTATTCATGTTTTTCAATGTACAAAAAGGCAAGAGGCACATTGTGAATGAATCAGGATGGAAGCTAAGAAATGAGCCAAAGCAGTTAGAGGGAGATGGTTCAGGTTGGTCACCGTGCTGCCTCTTAAAGTTGCCAGAATTTGCTTGACTTCTTTCAATAACCTGTGGAGGGTGAGAGGGCTAATACCACGATCCATAAAACTAAACACAGAGCTTAATAGCTTCCTAGATTCCTAAAATAAATCTTTTTCCCTCTGAAGTTCTGTGAGAATGTAGGACAGGCTTAAGGTTACATAAAGATTTTGGAACATAAAAATGAACGAGATGGGTTGTCTTTAGTGTGAAGAAAATGTACATGTTGCGTGGTGATTTTTTAAAACTGTTCTAAAGTGCCATGGGGCTCCTTTGTTTCCCTGAGTGGCTTCAAAGATTAATATCCCATGAGTGCTCTGTAGGATTTCAAAGGAAATTGCTGAAACAGTTTCCAACGTTTTTGCCTTTATCCTATCTGGTATGGGGCCTCTACTGTAAGATGTATAACCTTCAAGCCTGTTATTTGTTCCTTTTTGTTAGGTATTTCCCACCATTTTTAATGTCTCTCCTTATTATTTGACTCATGGATTACTGCTTTTTAAAAAATGCATTGGCAGCTACAGCTGTGATATGATTACAAGGCAATATGCTGAATATGACCTTATGTTATGGCTTATTTTTTAAAAAAACTGCAGGATCAGGAACTTTGGGCAAACATGAGGTGCATATTTGGATGCGTATTGGAGTCCTGGATTCAACCCATAATTATTTGCACATTTTACAGTTGCCTGTCACAACTCCAAGTGGCAGCAGGAGAAAAATAAAAACAACTCATTGGCATCATGAGCAAAATTATGTCATTTCCAGGAAAAACTGCCATTGCTTCCAGGTCTTCCCCAGAAGTGACATCATCACACTTGCTATGCCCCCATGTCCCCATCCCAACCACTCCCTCTGGCCACCTGGCAACCTAGTGTACTTTAGGACTGGAGCCTTAATTTATTTGTGTGATTTCATAAGCATAGATTTTGAAACCACAGCATGACAGGTCATCCATGATAGCAGCCCCACCCCACCCCCAAATTACTTTGCTCACAGCTCTGGAGTCTGTAAACTGGCTTACAAGTTTGGAAGCTTGAGTACTGGAAAGCAGAACAACACGAGGAAAGAACAAAATGAAAAATGGCAGGAGCCACAGCCGAAGGAGTTAAGCGCCCATGAAGACCTTCTGGTGCCCTGAAAATGTGATGCACCCTCTTACTAAAGCAGCCAGCATTCTTCTAAATCCCTGAAAGTCTCTCAGCCACCTTTCTGAGCATGTTATCTCTTCATTACAATTTGGAGCAGGAAAGGACAATTACAGGGAATCAGTGCCAATAACTGAGAAAAAGACACTAAGCAGAACAGTACATTTTGAAGAGTCAGGCAAAAACCTAAGGATACAGTTCTAGTTACATATTACACTATTTTTCAATCCCACTAAAATCTCAGCTAAATTATTTCCACTGATCCTGTGTCATGGTTCTGCTCAGCCAAGAGTGATTGGAATAGAGTTTTAAAGATACAGTTCTTTGAGAAATGCCACAGTCAATTGTCCCACAGAGCTGACCTGCATGCGGTTCATGGCTTCTCGAATCTGGTCAAGATGGTGTGCTGAGCTGAGAGCTTCTAGACGAATATCCGTTAACTTGAGCTCTTTTTCCCTGAGCTCATTTTTCAGCTGCAGAATTATTTCAGCCTCTGCCTCTGTGCATTCACAGATCCTAAAAAAAATGGAGAAGGAAAAGAGGCAGAAGATTAAAGGAAGGTAGGCTATGTGCTATTATTTCATATCAAAGAACAGAAAAAGGTTGCTGCTGGTGACTCCTAGAAGCAGGACAGAGAATCTCATCAAAGCAACATGAATAGGTTCAATTTTAAAACATGAAAAGGGATAGAATTATAAATTTGCTTTTATTGCTGTTCCATTTAGTTCTACACTTCCCATTTAGAAGAAGTATAGTTACTGTGCAGGCTGTCAGAGGATAAAATGATGGCCACAGGAATAAACAGCTTTTAAAGGGGATTAGGTAGATACATGAAGGATAAATCTATCAATGGCTACTAGCCATGCTGACTGAGGGGAACCTCCACATTCAGAGGCACTAATCCTCTGAATCCCAGAGCCAGGAGGCAATGTCAGGGGGAGGCCTGGCTGGCCACTCTGTGAGACAGGATGCTGGACTAGATGGACCACTGGTCTGATCCAGCAGGGCTTTTCTTATGTTCTTATGTTAGATTTGTTTTGTTTTTTCAAAACACAAAAGGGCTGTATTTTTCAAAACTGTCCTAGCTTTTTAAAAAACATATATTGCTTTTGTTAAAAATTACAATGATTAAAAAAGATGTCTTGGTTTTCAACTGAAAGATGGTTTAATTATTGTTACTTAATTACTCAACACTTGTAGCTGAACATGTGAACTGACTGCATCAATGAATTATGGTAGTTAAGATGAAGTCTGGTGTTATGAATATTTTGACTATGAGAAGGTGGTCATGTCACACGTGCCAAGTCATCATTAGATCATACATTCACTGAGTGATGAACACGAATGTGTGAATTCATCCTTACAACTCCTTCATGCAATATGACAGCCTTGTGGGGACCACTGAGGGATATTTATGTAGCAGTTGTTCCACATGGAAACATCCTATAATGTGGCTCCACCAAGCAAAGCAGGAATACTGAAGAGCTCTGATGAAGATTCTTCAGCAGCTGGATTAGTGCTGGTGAGTGACAGAGGGTTTGAGAGGAGTTTCTGGGTGGCTGAATGTCTAACTGCCATCTTTTGCAATTTCAGTGTAACTAAAAATGAACTCATACTTGGAACAGATGGTGTTTTCTAAGTAAGTTTTTTTTTTTTGCTGTCAATAGCTAAAAAGGTAAATGCTTTGAATTTGCGGAGTTGGTTTGATCCATTTCTGTGGTAGGGTTCTTCTCTATTCTATCAGATGCCATTTCCTTCTGTTAGGATAAAGGAAATCACCACCATTTAATAGCTCTGGCACAGGACTCTCCTGATTCATTTCTGTAAACTGCAGAATAAGTCACATGCAAAACAGAAAATAGCAGTCCATGACACAGAAAATAATAGGAGGCCTTTGCACACTAGCTTTCCTGAAACTAAGGACCAAGCAAGATGTTATAGCATCTACTGGTCTGACCCATGGATGCTGCCACTGTTTTACAGGTTCACTTGGTGAACAGCATTTAAAAATGCTGTGATGGCCCATAGCACACTGGGACCTGGTGATATTGGTTGCTTTGGAACCTGAAAAAGTATGGATGGTGGGAGATTGCCTGGTCCCGCTGAGTTGTGGGCCCAATCAGGATCCAGCATTCACAGAATTCTTAAATGGCCCAAATTCATCGCTAAAAAGGCAGTGACATCCAAGGGTAGGACCCATGGATGCCGTAACATCTAGCTTGGCCCTAAGTAAAATCATTCTTAAGGAAACTCATCCTTTAATAACTAAATGGTTTCCTTTTGAAGGATACAGAACAGTGCTTTTTTAATAATGGTCATGCTAATCTATACCACCCTCATCCACAGAGCACACATCACACTAAGCTACATACAACATTCATAACATTTTGTATGTATTAGTTTTTACTCTGCCCTTCTTTCAAGGAGCTCAGGGCAGTGTACATGCTTCTCCTCTCCTTCATTATTACCAAACTATATCTACTATCACAATAAAAATCTGAAACTCTTATTTTTTTCATGGATTGCCTTTTGTTAAAAAAGGAACCACTTCATACTAGCTCTGGGAAGCCCCACACAACAGTTTACCGGGATCTATGCTTGTAGATCACGTGACCGGTTTGCCTTTTCTTTGGTGCCCAGATTAAGGATGACCTGCATATACACGCATTAGACAGACAGATGCAAGTGAAAGAAAGTAAAGGCAATGGTTTAGAAAATGAAACACAGGTCCAAGAATGAACTAAACAAACAAAAAACCCAGAATGGAGATACAAGAGGGAGAGAATCCTGAATGGTAAACTAAAGACGGAAAATATGCTTACATTTTATTGATGCCAAACACATGACCAGACATATTTAGACTGCAGGTGAAGAACTAAATATTTGGCTGGTCCTGCACAGCAAAGGCTTCTGCATATTCCAAACCACCACACTAGACAGAAGGGCAAGGTGGATTCTGAGATGCCACTTTGGAATGGCAAGGAAGTTTTTGATGTGAGGGAGGCCTCTGAATATCTGATTCCCTACCTGAAACTTGAAATCATACTACCCATCTACAAAACATATTAATGATGCACTTTGGACTACAAAAGTGAGGAATGCTTGATGTTTTCTGGGAACTGGGTGGCAAAATAGACCATCAGTTTTTGCACACCACTGGTGTGGGAAAGCAGAGGCTGAAACACAAGAACACTTCAAGAAAACAGTCAATGGTATTTATGCAGGCCAAGCCACAAAATGTTCTGCAAGTGCCTGGCACTCCTGGCTACGCTTTGAGGATCTATTTGGATGATCAAAACCTCAGGTGAACTGGAATTGCAGGGCCTGATAACATCAAACATCATGAGAATGAAACTTTGTACAGGAGAACTGTCCGGAGGACTTTAGGAGGGAAAGGAGAATGATGGTGGAGAGCTGTGGGCACTGGATTCAGTCTATGAACAGAGAAAACAGTCACCACACCACTTTTCTGCAAGTGCTTGCACATATGCTACTTTGCACAATGCTTTAATAGGTAGGTTCTTTGGCAGTTCTCATGCTTCTGCTTCTGCCAGTGCTTACACAAGAAGGTGCACATGCCCTCATATTGGCTGAGAAGAATGTGGGTGTCATTTCTTTATTCTCACACTATGCTTCAGCAACATATATGAAATGACTTTTCTGTGAATAGAAGACATAATCTACATGGGGAAGAACATCTTGGAACTGTACAATAGTGAAGAATGCTAGATCAGTCTTGTTCAAGGGCAAGCAAAATGTCGAAAGAGGAAGGTACGATCAGTTGAGAGAAGGAAGCATTCCGTCTGCACCATCAAAATATTGCCAGACAAAGAATAACAGAGTAAGAACATTTCCATGAAACAAATGTCAATGTAGGGAATTAAAATGTCTGAATCTGGACGGACAGGAAATAACTGGTGGGAATACAAGAGCAAAAGTTCAAAGGCTGTGGCAATACGTATGAAATGCCAGTCAATAAACCTAATGATGTCTTTTAAAAAAAATGGTATTTGGTAAGGAAGGCTTGTGCAGAAAGAGAGAAACATACGCGGATGTCGATTGGGATGGCTTTATTGATGCAGACCCACAATCTCCAGAGCTGTGGGGCAACTTAGGTGAGGATGGAAGAGATGAATCTGTGACTTCTTCTATATCAGAATGTGAGGAAGGAGGCTTTGTGGACTTCTTCTTTCCAAAGGCTTGTTTGAAAGAGCTTCTCAGCTGGGTGGGGGAAAAAAAGGAGAATACATTTATTTGAATTACCTCTGCTGGTTTGGTTCACTTTATGTTTTGCTGAAAGGTTAGTTTGCAGATGCCAATCTAGCCACTGCCTGAGGTCAGTATATAGATAAAGCAGGGTATTAACATATGCAACACAGTGGTCTTTAAGAACATGATAACAGTGCTGTTTAAAAAATTAACTGAGCACAGCGCAAACACTGAATGCTATGGGAAAAGGGCAGGATCAACTGGTACAGCTAAACAGATGCTCACTTAAAACCCTACACCTTCTGCGGAATCCCATTATTCTGGCATTCCCTTTAAGGTGACTGGTTTTAAATAGCCACTTTGTTTTTATTTCCAAAATATACTGCATTCCAATTGCTATGTTTTTGTGCACTATTTATGTAGAATTATTTTCCCTCTAAAAATCAGAACCCTATTAATTCGATAGCAGAAATAAGCAAAACATAAGCTGTGATATGATGCTTGCCTTTTTGCTGACGAGAAGCTGGAAGGGTTGGAGAAGAGGTTTTTGTCATAGGTCTGCTTTAAAGAAGCAAGTTCATATGTACAAGCATTGCCTTTTTTGCTCTAGGAGCTTTGATCCAGTAACGAAAGGGACAGGATAGCCAAAGAGCCATTTATTTCAGGAGCCGAAACAGCACAAGTCAGGTTTGCAATGAGCATTTTGCAGATATTTTTGAGCTGTTGAAAGCTTCTTATGAACACACAAGTTACTCATACAAAGAACAAAACGTGTGTTTCCCCCCCTCCCAAGCTTTTATCACCCAAATCATTCTTCTTCCAAACACTGGCACACATCAGCATTTTCTTCTATCGAAATCAGTTGAACTGGGAATGTAAGCGCTGATTGGAATTACCATAATTTATGTTCTTTCTAGTTGATGATTTCTAATAAGAAAGAAATGGATTTTGGCGACACCCCCCCTTTCTAGTTTTCAAAGTTGGAGGTAAAATGAATAGAGAAAAAACTAAGGAAACATACAGAGTAATCCATTTTAGAAGGGTACGAAAGCCTACTGCCAAAATGAATAGCAATCATGCCAAGATAAGAGTTCTTTGAGATGCATGCCAAATTTTCCATGGGTTTATATTCACCTCACTTCCTCTAGAGTTCACCTTGCAGAAACATGAAAAAGAGTGTGCAATTACAAATCAAGGGAATGAAGTTGGAATCAGTATTTTAAAAATATTACCTGCATAAACATATTTAAACAACAGAAATAAATTCTTCCATCATGTCAATAAAACTCATTGATACGTATAGCTTTTTCTGAATCTAAAGACTTAATATTTACCCAGTTTAAAAACATTCCCCTCAGGTTTCCTTCACAGTCTACTGACCTATCCTGAACAGTCAACCCATTTTATAGAATGAAGTGGAAACCAGAACTGCTTTTTTAAAAAGCTTGTATGTGCTTTTACAATGATCCTAATGTACCTGCCAATACCAATATCTCACTGGTTCCAATCAAATGTGTATCCTTCTGACTGCACAAGAATAGGGGCCGTTGTGCTATTTACGAGGAAGGGAAGTATACAAAAGAGTACTCAGTATATTTAAATCTGTAAGGCACTTACCCAATTTTTCTTTTTCTTTTTCTTGGACTCGGCATCATTACTGCTGCCCATGCTTGAATGACTGGTGCCGCTATTGATGCTGGAAACACTTTCAGAAGAATGTTGCCGTCTTATTCGCAAATCTATAATGGAGGAGGGGAGACAATATGAGATTCTCTCTCTTGTTTTAAGAAATAAACTACATGTCACACTTGAGTTCCAAGACTGAAACACCAGAAGTATAATTTGGTTCAAAAAGGTAGCTGCAGAGGGAGCCTAACCTGAACTGGTGTCACAATAGGTAGACACTGCAGAAGTATTTCCCCCCCACACCAGGGGTACCACTGGGGGGGGCACATTTCTGAACTGGGAACTGGTATAAGAGGGAAACATTAAACTTCTCCTTCCCCAGTACTTCAGCAATAGCTCATACCATACCACACATTTCTTGCCGTGTAGCTGTTGTTTCATTATCTGGAAGGCCAGACAATGAAACTGAAGCTGAAATACTTTGGCCACCAAATGAGAAGGGAGCACTCACTGGAGAAGACCCTGATGCTGGGAAAGATTGAAGGTCAAAGAAGATGGGGATGGCAAAGGATGAGATGGTTAGACAGTGTCATAGATGCAACAAACATGAAATTGAGCCAACTTCAGAGGACGGTGGAAGACAGGAAGGCCTGGCGTGATCTGGTACATGGGGTCGCGAAGAGTCGGACTCGACTGTGCGACTGAACAACAAGCTGTTGTTTTAGGGCTAAATGGTTCCAGTCACAGAATCACTTGTAGTTTGACCCTGAGTAAACTTTGGTTTTAGATGTTCAAAATGCTGCCCAAGGCCAATTTCTTCAGATGTGCATGCTCATCTTAAGTGAAAGCTTGATGGTATACTGATGGAAACTCTTGTCCCCCCCCCCACACACACACTGGTGAAAGCACTGACTCCTATAAGAGATAAATACATGTTCGTTGCATGCCTTGCTGTGATATCCCTGAACATGTTTTCCATTCTCAATCTGTTGTGTTAATTTTAAAAAAGTTTGGAAACATTGGCATGGAGCCCCGAGTCAAAATCCAGTCTTGCTCATGCATTCAGAGGTGATACAGGTCTGTGAAAACTGAAATGCAAATCTTTTTCTGAATACTGAATCCATTTCAAGATTTGAGCCTTGATAAGAACCTGAACTTTAAATAGCTACCTACTGAAACTATAGATTCAAAATTGAAAATGAACTTGTTGAGTTATTTTTTTCTTGCATTTCTAGTTCTGATTACAGTAGAGATGGGTTAACAGCTATGGAATTGGCAACCCTTTTAGACTGTACCATTCTGCCATTTGTTTACTAATAAACCAGGGTGAGAGCTGAGAGCTGGCTGAAAGCTAGGTCTGTGTTTTGGCAGTTTTAGACTTGAATGTGCAGCTTGAAATTTACTAATGAAAATGCAGCACAAACTATATTCCTAGCATGTACAGTAGAATTAGTTCAGAACTGATCAAAATAATTTCTGATAATTGGCCACTGTCAGACGTTTTCTAATCAGATTGTTATTTTGGCACCTCATGGACTAGCTTCATTTTCTGGGGGGTGGGGGGAAGCTGGGGCAGTGAAGGCAGAGATTCTTTAGCTGCAGATATGTGACAAGGACGCCATCCAAATATAAGGATGCCTGTCAAACAAGACCATTGTAACTGGTGCTTTAATGCTCAACACATCAATTTCAACACTTGAAACCAAACAAAGGTCCAGGTAGGCACCAAGGAGGGCAGTAGCAAGCTCTAGTGAAGCTATTTATCCCAGGATTTCCCTGGTAGAATGGAAGCTATTTATGAAGGCGAGGGCTTAGAGACATCACCAGGGCCATAATCCTGCATGTACTTATAGCTGGACCTAGTCCAGCATCCTGCAAAACTTCATGATAGCTCTTTATCACCAAAAGAGTCGCAGTCAAAGAAGAGGTCCTGAGCAGGCAACCAGGCCCCACACCACCAGAGCTGAGCCTCTACCTGGGTTCTCTGTCTCCTCCACTACAGGAACTCTAAGGTTGCTTTTGTATCCCTAATGAAGAGTGGGTTTCACTGGTAGGCTCTTATATAGCCCCCACTTCTGGTTCCTGTTCATAAGCCCTTTGGTTTTCTGGCCCCATGGTCTTGATGGGTGGCCTATCTGAGTCCTGGGACACTGGGGTCTTCTTGGATCTCGATCTCCACAGGGTCAGCCACCATGACCAAGGAGGATTTGTCAGGCCCAACTCTGACATTCCTTCATTCAACCCTTCCCTAGAGAAGGGGGGAAAGATCACTCACACCTTTCTCTGCCCTCTTTTCAAGTGAAAATATTGCCTACAGAATGGGGATTCCCCCCCCCATATAAATGGAATTTGGAAATAAAGATCTCTTTTCAGAGGGGTACAATCCTTGAGAATTTTATCCCAGTTGGGGAAGGGTTATACAGGGATGGATGTCCTCCATTGACCTCAATAGGACTGATTTTCTATTGCACCAGCACCTTCAATTAAGACATAAAACACCAATGTATAGGTTAAACTAGATTTTATGGATGGTTTCTCTACATCAACAAAACACTGCTCAAACTTTGGGTGTGCATATCTGCTAACAAGCAGCCTACAAAGGCTACCAGATTTGGGTAAACCAACTTTGGTTCCAAGTTTGGCCAGCATTACTGCAGGCTTCATTTAACTTAGTATACACATGACACAATGCATAGAATTAAGCTTTCTCTCCCTGCTCTCACACACTGCTCAAGAAACTAAGGGCAAGCTCTGAGCATTGATCCTGCTTAGCAGTGATGGTCTCCCCTCCCCAACTGACCTGGCTGCCTCTGTCACTAATGGACTGGCTTGGGAGTACAGTTAACCCTATCTATAGCACGCACATTCTTCATGCAAGCCCTGGTTAAGGCCTAACCGGTCTACATCCAGGCCTACTTATAATTAAACCACCAAGCCCATGAACAATGTGGAGCATATGAGAAAGGTCTCCTTCCATGCTAGTTTTTTCTTGGACTGCAGAAGGCAATCAACCAATCCTACATTATTATCTAGAAGAGTTTGGCAGGCCACCTCATAGCAAAAACCAGTGACTGGGAAAAAGCCAGCCACTCCTAACTCCATTTGCTGTAAGCTGGACCATACTGGGGTAAGATTAGCTTTACTTATGACATTAAAAAAACCCAACTCAAAGTTATTAAATTAGCCTGCAATTTCACTCTGTATCAGACTTTATTTTGCACATCCCTAATTAAAAGTACTGATACCCTACAACTCTTCATATTTCATGCCAACCTGAAGAACACCTTGATAGCGTGTGACTTTGTAATTTCTTTCTTTTTTTTACACTTGGGAAATGTGCACGAGTACTAGAAGCACCAGTTTTGTCATTGCCTTTTTCCTTAGACACCACTAAATCCACCTTCAGAGGAACAAGTAAAATTGCTGAAGAGGTAGGGTTCTCTCCTCTAGTATCCTTCCTCAATGTTCAAAAGTGTGGGACTGCTATGCAGCTATTTAAAAGACAGGAAAGTTCCTAATAATAGATTTGCTGCATCATATGGTGTTCAGTGATAACTGCCATCAGGTATAGGTAGGTCAATATCACAAGGAATATTATGCTGTCAGCTTGGAAAACTGGATAACAATAGTGCTTACCTGGAAATATAAAACGTGTCCTGTTGAAAGTTGTATTTTTCCTCCTGGGACACCCATATTATATTTTATATTAGTGTAGCAAGTTAATCATGAGGACCACACCATTTGCACTAGTCCCTGTCTCTCCAAGTGAACTGGAGAAAGAGGATTGGCATGGGAAAAAGGACCCTGAGTGGTGAAAACCTGCACTTGAATGGTATACCTAATCACCCACACCAGTGCAGTTTGGGCATGGTCCGAAGTAATATTCATGTGAAAACATTACTATACTCCATGGCTATAGCATGGCTGCAGCACCATGCATAACCACCTTGACTATTGTTGGAGACAACATGAATAATCCAGCAAAGGCCCCGGTCACACAGGCCGGATATCGCGCGGGGGAGGAGGCATGGCTAATTGCCCTGGCGCAGTTTGATCCGTGATTACGCGATCAGATGCGCCGGCAGCACACCACGGGTCCGTCCTTCCGCGCCGGCGGGTAAACGAGGGTGGCGATCACACGACGATCCTGCAGCGCGGCAAAGAAGCAGCACAGTGCGATCACACCAGCAATGGCTAGGCGCCGCTGCCATGAAAAAGGGGTCATTTTTTTTAAAAGCCGAAACGGCACTTTCACTTTTCTCTTTGTGCGCATGCGCCTTTGGGTGCTTGTGCGCATCTTGTGGAGACTTGGGGGGGGGGAACCTGTTTGCGAAGGGACATGGGAGGATGCCGGATGCCACCACCGGAAACGCGAACAGACGCCAGCCCTTGCCCCGCGGTTTCTGAAAACTAGTACCTCGGAGGCACTAGTTTTTAAACTGCGCATCTTTGGTGGGAAGCCTCGGGTTCGCCATGGGAGCTCGATGCTTCCCAGATGTTGCAGTGTGATCGCACCCGGAAAATCTGCTTATCTTCTGTCTCTGTAGCGTGGCTAATGCTCTGTATGACCGCAGCCAAAGTATGGCATTTTCGGGTTCCATACATTTCAAATAAAGCAAGTACAGTGTAAACTTAACTTTCCTAGTGAATAAAAAAAAAAAAAAAAAAAAGCTTAAAAGTGCTTAATTTTGGCTAGATGTGGCCACACTAGACAGAGAAGGGCATTAGAAGGACATTTTGCTTGAGCGAGTGACTAATGGGGATCATAGAAGTCTGGTAAACCTGGGTCCTTTGAATTCAGTGGCATATATACTTTGTAGAAGTTTTCGAACTGTGGAAACACATCAAATACAAATGACATTCAATGGAGAATCCCTCAGTTTTCTGAAATACTTCACAGACCCTGTGCTTCTAAACAATGGAAAGCCAGTGGCTTAGCCCTTCTCTGAAGAACCAATGAGCTCTCACTGAGACTATGAAAAAACATACCTTTATGAGCATGGTCAGGGCCATTCAAAGCTCCCTGAATAGCAGCCTGTGCAGCAGAGTTCTGAGCTTTCAGCATTTCAATAGTTTCTCGTAGTTCTATGAGCTCTGATTCCTACGGGGAAAGTCAGAAAAGGCTCAAAACATCTGAGTAATCATGGGTTGTTTCCCACACTCTGGGGTAAAAATTTATAAGATTTCAGTGTACTAACGCTGGTGAGACTGAACAGAAAATGCAATCATGTTACAGCTTCTTATTGAAGGTAATACAGTTAGACCAACTTTAAGGCTTGAAATTGTTAACTTCAAATGCTGCAATAATAAGAATTAATGCATAAGGAAAACAATAAACACACTGATTTAAACAAATTATTTTTTTCTATTTTGTATAGAAAGATGGCAGCACCAAAATGTCTATAGCAGGGGTGGCGAACAAGTTCGACAAAAAGAGCCAAAATTTTAAACTGTGAGAGTCAGAGAGCCACACCACGCAGTGACCTGCCAAAACAGACAAACACTCACACAAAAGCATATACTTTTAACAATGACGCCCCGAGGAACTCCCCACACCCTGACCTACCGGCCGTCGCCAGCGCCAAAGACCGGGAGAGGAAGGCAGCGGCCCAACGCCGAACCTCCCCAGAAGACGCCCTGCTGCACAAGACGACCGCAGGACGCGCTCGGGCGCGGGGGCGAGAGCCCCGGCCCGAGACGCGTGACAGAAGCTGCGACAGGGGAGCAGGGCCGGCGGCGCGGCCTCAACGGCGACCGGATGACAGGGAGCGCGTGTCCGGTGGGCGTCTACCCGGCGGCGCGCGTCTCCTCTGTTAAAGGGGGG